GATTACATTTTTAGAGTGGAGAAAATGTTTAAACTTATACTTTAATTCGTTTTTTTTTTTTTTTTTTTTTTTTTTTCATGGGTTATGTTAGGGGTTTTATTGATGTTTGCTTTTGTCATTCGTTTCATAATATTTGCATGATTTGATATAATATATAAGAGTATTACTATTTGTAATTTGTTTTTTGTGATAAACAAATTTTCGAGATCGAGTTTGCAACTCATATGCAAGTGATGTAGTAAAATGTTTTCAATTGCGGTGCAGTTTCTAAGAAATTGAGATTTTTCGAGTATCTCAGAAAAAATTTTTTGTTAAGTTAAATGTAACCAAACACTACGAATGAATCGACAAACACAACTAACTCTCACCTGTCCTTCACCAACCTCGCCTGGCCTCAACAACTGTAATATTGGGTTTAAATCAAATTAAAAAGGCTGGACATTCAATTGCATTTCATATTATTAGTTAACTTATTTCGTGATCGCACTTTATTCTGATCTGCCTATTTTGCGTAACATAATATACAATGTGTGTGAAAAAATGTATTGGGAATTGAGGTTGAGGTTTAGTCAATTGCGAAATTTCCGCTTGAAGATCGCTGTAAGAATAATTCCATATACGCAGATAATGTGTACATTCTCTTTTCCGACCTTACTATATCCTAGAATTAAGAAACTCGAATATTACGCGAAGATGCTGCACCCGATTATATGTGTATTCATGTTTTCACTCGAGACAGACAAAACTGACTGATGTTTCATTCAGCAAGAGTTAAATTTTTAGCATCTTGACGCCAGCGACCATGATACGATATTTTCCTAAGTGCATATTATGTAAATTCATTGCAGCCGTTCACTTCGATCTAATCGTTTTACATATATATAGATAGGTATTCATGAATATACATGCATATATTTCTTTTTCACAGTGCCAAATAAATTTATATACTCCGTTTGACGTCATCTCATCTGAAAACATGTGCAGCTTCAACCAAATATTATGTGCATTCAATTTTCTAAAAAAATGTCGCATATGCGAAAGAAATATTTATATGTATTTGATCTTTACAATCTCACGAGCGTACTATTATTAGCACTCGAAAATAGACAAGGAGAAGGCCATTCACGTATATACTTAGTGTGTACCATGCACATACAACGACTAAAAATCATTAAAATGATTTTTTTAATTATTAAAATGATTTTAATTCGTTCGTAATAAAGTTCAGGTGCAGCTGCAGCTTTGAAATCATTTTATAGAATTAGGAGATTAGTTCAAAAAGTTTTTAATAAATATTTATAATATGAAATACTTTTTAAAATATGAGTACTCTTTAAGTAATCTTTAAAGATCAATCTAACACCCCTGGCTACATCGTTAAAAGTTTTTGACAAAAAAATTTAAAAAATAATAAAATATAAATATTTATGCATAAAACCATATGCATTTATCTCAAAAGCATATAGTAATATTGTGTACAATTTGAGCATATTTGGAATGTCTTACCCGTGTATCCATTACTTCGCCGGGGCGGAGTTTCTTCTGCGATATTTGTTTGTATTTGTTGAGTGGCATATACATATACATAGACATATATGTGCATGTAGGTGTGGGTGTGCGTGTGTGATTGTGGTTGTGGTTGTGGGTTGGTTGAGGGCGGTGAAGATGACATTTGAGTATTTGTTTCATGTTGTTCGGTGACGTTGCGTTCAGATGCGGGCACAATCAAATGGACACCAATGGGATTCGGTTTTTTTCGTAGAAAAAAGTATTTGTTTATATATTGTTGTGGTGTTGTTGKTGTTGTTAAGTGGATATAATCATATATCGTACATAAAGAAGAGGGCACAGGAAATATATATGTGGGATTACAAATATGTATTATTTACACTGACACGTAAAAAATTATGTATTACACATTAATCAGTTAGGGACAATAAAATACTGTAGTATCATCAACCAAATTGTTTACAATACATTTCTCATACAGATGGAATAAAAAACGTTCAATCTAGCAGTAATTTCTATCTGTATAAATAGTTAAAAAATTACACTGCAATTTATATAAACATATTTTTTTCTAATAATATGTTAAAATAGGAATTCTAAATAAAGCAAGGTAAAATGATTCGATAGCTTGAGAGATTGTAAAGAAAATATAAGAGAAGCGATATTTTGTAAATTTAGAGCTCAGCATTTAAATACTACACTATTTCAATGCGATATTGCTTGTCTGATTTAAATTGGCGTCATCAAACTACAATCATATTGTAAATTGCTCAAATATATTGATATTTAAACAATTGTACATTATTAGATCATTGCTTTTGGAAACTTTATTTTTTGCTTTTCGTAGCTTTTAATTAGTTTTAATAATTAATTACCTCGTCATTAATGATAAGCGATGGTCGACGACCTGTATCGGCTGGGGGAACTAGTGAGCCGCGTCGACTTGGAGGCTCCGGTGCTAGGGACGGGCGTTTCTCCCGTATCACCTCTATCTTTGGTGGCTCACCAGGTGCTGGAGGCTGCATTTTTGGTACCTTCGGCTTGTCGTCCTAAATACAAAAATGTATTATTAAATAAAAGATTTTTGGTCTTGGACTGTCTTGGGCTTTCCGTTGGGCATATTCGATAAATCTGCATCCATTAGGATGCAGCATTATGATTGCAAGTCTTGTATTTTTGTCATATATATATTTGCTAAGTGGAGATGGGAAGAGGACTGCTCATAATACGAACCGAAATTACGGTCACCCTAATGGATGCTGCCATTTTTGATAAAGAGTAATCCTTTCCGTATTCGGTAACTTAATTGGGTACAATAAATTGGGAACACAAATGCTTTAAGAGTACATTGCGTATGTTTTTGACGTTGGTCTCTGGTATACTTGTTTCTTCGTTGCTTCAAAATATAATGTGATAAAAATTGGTCAAGAACGACATGAAGCGACAGATACTAAGCATTTGGATGGGTGTATATGGTATGTTTATGAGATATATATTTTTCACAAAAGCTTTCACCACATTAAAATATAAAAATATAAATAAAATATGTACATATTGTATAGTAAATTTGTGTATATAGAACATATAAATATACATCATAATTGTGTACCTCAAAACATATGTGTAACAGATATGTGCCTGGGCATATATCTATTTAAATAGTTTCTAATATAAAAGAATATGTTAGGTACACGGAAAACAAAAATATAAAAAATATAAACCTTTATTAAACATTTATATATATATATACGGATGCTTTTGTGCATTTGAGTAGCAAATGTTATATTTTTGATCTTTTGATCTTTATGACATAAATATATATACATATATATATACAGTGAGTAACATTAACATTCGGTTTTAAAATTTTCAAATTCAACCGCCCATAAAGCATGTAATATTAGTTGAAATTAAAAAAGTGAAAATGCTAAGATTGTAGATTGAAGAATTACCTCTCCGATGAGGTATATATCAATATAGTATATTTAATATAACTAACAAAAATTATACATAAACCGGGACAATGACCCTAAACAATAGCCCAGAAAATCGAGTCCTGGCTACTGTTTAGTTACCCAAAACTTTTGGAAACACCTCCCCAGCCCCCAGACCTGACCTCTATCAACAAATTTTGGAGCCAAGTAGACTGCCAAGGTCACAAAACATTGATATTTTCAATATCTTACTTAAAGACATGGCTAAGGGAAGAGTGGGCCAAAATCGGCTCCAAGGACACAACAAAAATTATAACCGGTATACAAAAACATCTAAGGGACACTCTAAAATATAATAGATTTCATACCAAATGTTAAATGTGAACCATTTTTAATAGAACTCGAATTATGTCAGTTGATGAAGAAAAAACCGAATATTAAAGTAACGCCAAACTTTTTGAAGTTGTAATATAAAAAAAACGAATATTCATTTTAGACACTGTATATCTGTCATTGATTGATTGTATGAGAATGGATTTACCTTTTGATTTGTGGCGGTTAGTTTCACTTCAGGTGGGTCTTGGTCCGGGGTATTAACAACAGGAGTTAATTTCTCAGGTTTAAGTGTCTCAATATCAATACGTTCATATTTTTCTAATTGGGACCGCTCATAATCGTCAACAATGGTTGCTATGGCTTCTGGTTTTTTCAGGTCAGATATGTGGGCTTTGGATGTTTTTGTGGGATTAAACTCTTCCGTTGCATTTGCCTTTACCAAGCGAATATATATATATATTTTTAAATAGATGAGTACATAGTCATTGTCAACAAAATGGCATTTGTTTTGAATGCCAGCAAGGTAGACATAGGTTTGAAGAGCAAGCGACAGTACGTTATTATATACATATGAAGTTAAAATATGTGTGTATTTACTAATATCATAACAAGTAGGTAAGCTCTAGTCGAGGCTGCTCGACTACGAGATCCCCTGAACCCTTCCAACAAGTGATATAATCCTTCGTGTGTTTCTGCTTCCACAAGAAACAACACATGCACACATGTACATACGCCAACACACAGGCATACGCATGCACGCATCAACACGCATGAGCTGTAATGTTGGCTTACTATGGCAACTGATTTTTTTTAATAACTTTTATTGTGGATGGACTTTCATAATAAAACATAAAACATGGACTTTCATAAATCACTTAGATTGTGATTATATTATTAAAATGCGTGCATTTACCAAAGCACAAATCTTTAGAATTTGAAATACTTTTACAAATTTAGTGGTGATGGATTGAGGGTGGGGATGAGTTAGAACAAAAATCGAAACTCTATAACGTACATATCAGTCTACATTTAAAATTTGTCGACGTGGCATACAGTTTGGCAAGAAAGTGTTTACACATAGGGAAAAAATTTTAATTTTTTACTTTGAAGCGAAATAAAAGCATTAAGAATATGCATATTCAATTTTTTTAAAATGAMAATAGGTAAATTAGACTATAAACTATATTAGTAAGTAAACAAAAATTACAATATGTTTCCATTAACAAAAGAAAATAACAAAAATCAGCTGACAAGAAAGTGTTTACACAACTAAAACAATTAATTCATTATAGTGTTTTAACTAAAAAGTAGTTAAAACACTATAATGAATTAATTGTTTTAGTTGTGTAAACACTTTCTTGTCAGCTGATTTTTGTTATTTTCTTTTGTTAATGGAAACATATTGTAATTTTTGTTTACTTACTAATATAGTTTATAGTCTAATTTACCTATTKTCATTTAAAAAAAATTGAATATGCATATTCTTAATGCTTTTATTTCGCTTCAAAGTAAAAAATTAAAATTTTTTCCCTATGTGTAAACACTTTCTTGCCAAACTGTATATATTTTATTCCTGATTTTAGATAATGTGTTTAATCGCTAACAAAATAATGGGATGAGTTATCGATTTTTGGAGAAAAACTCGATATTCGCGTTCACACATACGGACAGACGAGCGGACGGACAGACAGACGGACAAGGCTAAATCGACTCAGCTCGTCGCCCTGATAAAAAATATATATACTTTATGGGGTCTGCCCTGCCTCATTCTGCCTGTTACACACATTTCAACAAAACTATCATACCCTGATTTCATATTTTCAATAGGTTCAGGTTATAAAAATAATCTTAAAGTAAATTTTCTAAGGCATTTTATTCATAAAAACATTGATTGAATAGAGAAAGAGGGAATAAAAGAAGAGATTTATGAAGAAGCAGTAAAATAGTTTATACGATAGAGAAATATAATATATGGAGGACGAGAGAGAAACAGATGGAGAGGAAGACAGAAAAAAAGAGAGAGAGCGAGATAGAGAGAGAGATAGAGGAAACTACTAATAGATTTAAAAGAGATGCTACATGGATTACTCCAGAATGAAAGAAAGAAAGACCAAGAGATACTAAAGGAAAGACGACAAAGCAAATGAGTAAAAGAGAATACAAAATTATACTTTAATATGCTCGTTCTAGTTTCATTGAAAGTTATAAGAAGTTAATTGCAATAGCTCCAAAATTAGAGGAAAGAAGGCTTTTAACAGTAGATTACAGCGAGATTATACATATGTATAAAATTATTAGTAAATAAAATGTGAATGCTGTAGAAAAATAATAACTTGGAGCTATTAAAAATAGAATTGAAAGACATATAAAAATATATTGCTTTGTACAGCTTCGTCACTTTCACTCAAGACTTCGGTTTACCTTATGTAACTGCTTGGCTTGTTGGGGTGCAACCTGCTCTTTAGCATCCTTTATTACGGGTTTCAAGACTACACCGAGGAAGGACTCGTTTTGTATGGGTTCCTTGGTCATCAAGGCTCTGACTGACGAACGACGTCTTTGCTTTATTATATCCATCAAAGATGGTTTCACAGCCTGAGATGATTTTGATTTTATATTTAACAATGGAGACAATGCTAAAGGAAACATAATCTCGATTTCTTTTATATTGACATATTGACTATCGCAGTTTATTATATGAGAATCGTATTATGATTCCTCAAGCCGAATGAGTTGCTAACATCTTGAACACCATTATTTTTAAAATTTCTCTATCTATTTACACTTACCTCATTCGTCTCATCGTCATCTTTTGATTTATCTTTCTATATAGGGAGTGTGTTCATTGGGTTTTAGAAGGCCAAAAAAAGGTGTAGAGGAGAGTTAAATATAAGATTATACATTCACACAGATCATGCAGACTGACTATATTGACGATCTTTGATTGCTTCTTTTTAATTGATTTTTAGCCCTCGCTTTGCGCTAAGTTAAATGCTCAGATTTGCCCAGAATACATTAAGTTAGTATAAACAAACATGTGTTAATTAGAAAATATAACTTACTTCTGGTTCGACAATCACAGGCTTAAGAGTAGCGCCATCTTTAGTATCTTCGACATCTGGCAATTTACCTTTACCCATTTTGAGAATCTTTGGCTCCTCTGCCGGCTTTTCGATTGCCTCAGATTTCTTTGAAATGATCACGCATAACATCAAACATAGACATTGTGTAAACAGATAGAAATTTAATACATTATAATGCTTTATGTATGGATGTTAGATTAATATCGTTTAACATAATACCTTTGGTAAGCCATTCTTTTGTGGAACTATTTCCGCTGACTTTTTGGCATTCTCTATTACTGGTTTCTCCATTTTATTTGGTATTTCGAGCTCCCTAGTAAAATCGGTGGGCGTAAACTCCGATTTTTCGTATTTCTCGAGTTTGGGTCTCTCGTAATCTGGGATTTCCGGCAGCTCCTCATATTTCGGTTTGGCTTTAGGTTTTGCTTTAGCTTTTGGCTTAATAGCCTCTGGCTTAGGTTCCTCCTTTGGCTGTGTAATAGATGTCTTCCGCAGCTTTGGAAATTCTTCTACCGGCTTCGGCTCTTCTACATTCTATTTTGCAGCGCGTACAGCATTATGTAAACATTAATACATACATTAATAAAATACATACATGTATAGACAAACAGATAAATATCTGGCTTGATTAAAATACATATCTACGAAAAAGTCGGGTGTTACCGACTGCATAATATTCATTCGCGGTCAAATGGAAAACAGTTTTCAGTTGCTTAACTGCTTCATTATGGAGTAATAGTTGTAACAGATTGCAAGATAAAGTTTTTTGTTCGATTTTCCACTCCTTTAAGGACCATTTTTGTGTGATGTAAAGTACATCAGTAATCAGTCAGTAAGTCAGTAACAAATTCACGCAATTACGTGCTTATACAAATAGAGGGGATGCAGTTTTTCCCGATTTGTAGTAAGTTTTTCTCCATCAAAAAATAGGAAATCTAGGTGTAATGGTTTTGTTAAAATGTATGTAATAGGCAGAAGGATGCAGATCTCATAAGGTATATTTATCCGTGATCGGAACTTTAAGCTGAGATTATACATTAGCACAGATCGTGCAGACAGACTACCTTGACGATCGTTGTAATGGTTTTGTTAAAACATACTTTTCAATAATAATAGGCAGCAGCACGCAGATCCCATGAGGTATACTTAAGGTATACTAAGCAAAGTCTTAAAAAAAAATCGAAAATAAGTCTCTTACAGACGAACAGACTGGCGAACAGAGAGACGAGAGAGAGTATTGCTCAAAACCAGAGTATTGCTCGTGAATGAATACTATTATTATGCTGATAGATCAATAGATAGATAGAAAATTGCTGGAGCATTTTTTATATACATATGAARATTATAAGACAGATAGATAGATAGGTAGAAAATTAGATAGCGTTACTTAGAATCACGTTCAATCCTGCTAGTTATATAAAGACATACATGTGCGCACTTCCTTACTTCAATCTTTTTAAGGCCGATGTAATAATACTTTCTAAGGTGCGAAAAGGTATGTGAAGAAATAATCGTATAAAATTAAAAAATAAAGATACCATTTTGTAACACGAATAACATTATTATATTCAAATTGCATTATCTCAAAAGAACAGCAGTTTTAATTAAGATTTTTATCATTTAGAGCTCATAATAGCTCGTATCTAGTTCAGTATACTTCATATTTTGTAAGCCCATTCCAAAATTAGATTAGGCGTGAAATAGAAAATTGAAGAATAAATATAGAATTAGAAGCGTTGTTAGTATCGTATTTATTAATATATGGAGCAATAGTTATTGAGCGGTGTCCCATTTCTTCATTTATCATGGCTCACCTTTGAAACACGCCTTTTTTCAGCTGGCTTCAATTTTGGAATTTCTTCATTAATAGATTGTGGATTTTTTTTCCCCTCAATATTTTTGCTTTCAACCTGCTGTGTAGGAATATATTTGTAAATCTGTACTTAAAAATAACCTTCATTGTTGGCTTCCATTGAATAACTTAGATGCATTAAAAGTAATTTAGTTACTATTATGTTATGCATAAGACGAAAATTTTATTGGTAATACACATATATCTAATACATACCTCCAAGGCTTTCCTATCAACCACAGATGAGCGGCGAGACTCTGATATACTCTCCTCAGCCTTTTCACATAGATATAAAAATAAAACAGGAAAACACACAAGAAATAAACGGGTTGGATCAGGTTTGTGTTAAGTGCTTACCGCTATTGATGACTTCCTAGATACTATATTTATGGCTTCTTCAGAGGGTTCCCCGATTGTTTTAATTATTGACTTACGACGTACCTCAGACTTTGATTCTTCGTTAATAGATACAATACTGGCCTAATTTAAAAAATGATCAGCAACACAATGGCATACGACATATTAAAGTAAATATAAGCAGGCCGATAAGTGTTTACCCTAAAGTATAGAACTTAAGCTAAAAACAAATAAGAAGATTGAGAGCCTGGCGCTCCTGAGTGAAATATACCCCAATAAAAAAACAAATCAACAAAAACAAATATGTGTAACTTATTGACTCATCGACTTAAACAAATTAATATAAAATTTGTTATCTTATCATCTCACCTTACGCTCCACTTTATTCAAACCAATATGCTCGGCAGCTCCCTGCTATAAATGTAAAAATTAAATAAATTAAATTATTTACTTTTGTTGTTTATGAATAGCGTTCTTTTGCACACGAGTAGGCATGCGTTTAGCACTATAGTTAGAATAAGCGACTGGTGTTGTGTTGATTGTTTGTGTGATATTTGGGTAGATTCTTCTATAAAAAGCCTTTGATATAATTTTTTCAAGGATACTTTCAGCCTTACCTCTTTAGCTTCAGGTTGAAGAGCGTTATTAGTGCTCGGTTCATAAGATTTATCTGCTATGAGCTCATTAGTTATTGGTGTTTCGCTTGTTTTTGCTTTCACATCTGTCGCAGTTTTTTTTTTAACTGGATTCTTTTCTTCTAGACCGCTTTCAATCTGCTGTGTTTCATCGATTTTCTTTTTCTTCTCCAAATCATTGGTTTTATCGGCTTGTTGAGGAGACTTGTCTTCTGTAGGCGTTTCTTCCTTTTTAACTACGTTAACTGTCATAGGCTTCTTTTCCTCTGGCTTTCCTTCCTTGTTATCTTCAATATCTTTTGTTGTTTTGTTCTGGACTTCATTTACTTTTTTCTTTTCAGCTTTTTTATAGGATGAATCTTCTGCATCTCTTGTTTTATCGTCCTCCATTTGTATTTCTTCAGTATTCTTAATTTCTTGATGTTTTTCAGCGACTTCTTTTGTATTCTTTTCCTCTATGATCTCGTCCTTCTCTCCTGCCTCTTCTTCGGCCTTTTTTATAGAAAGTATTTTTTGTGTGTAGAAGTAAATGTGGTGTAGAGGTTTATGTGCAGTGTGTATTTTTGTTGTTATTAACAAAATTTGCAAAGACAAGAAACGAAAATGTTAGTTTTTGGAAACGTTAGAAACCTAAACCGGTTTCTAAGAGTTCAGTAAGGGTAGTTAGAGACTCATTCTGTTGAAATCTTTTCTTAAGTAATAATATTTTACAGTTAACAATAAGAATTCATATATACATTCATATAGATACAGAAAGAAGACTTAAGAATGCCAGAAGATAGACAGAAGAGCCAACATCGATTGCAAAAACTGAGGACAATTTCGCCCGAAGTTATATAGTTGTAACGTTTCGAGTAAGATAAGGGAAGTACTCTACAGAAACAGTGAAAAGTGGGAGTTGAATAAGAAATTTTCAATAAACCCAAAAGCGATAGAGAGCGAGAGAGAGAAAGAGATATAAAAATAATAGAATGTCTACATTTGAGCAATATTTCGAACCTCATCTTTTAGAGCATGTTTGACGGGCATCAATTTCACCCCAAAGATATTTGTCTGTTTCGTTGCAGAAACATTCACAGATTGTTCCATTGACTTTGGCAATTTTAGCTTAGGTATCTGGTACACTGCAACGCTCGGCTGTGACAAATATATTAATAAGATATATACATTGTTACTGACGAACGATTATAAATCAATATATAAATATGTATTATAACGCAACTGTATGTTAGGCGCATAGCTACAGCTACCTATGAAGTAAAGCAGAGTGAAGGCGTTTGGGTTTATATGAACAAAAATATCAGTATATGTATTTACGTCTGTATATAATCCATGCATAGAGGAGATATTATACTTCCAGGAACTATGCTGGATTGGCGGAATTGTTTATCAAAAATATTCTTGGTTTGTTCACATTTTATTTAGGCTTTATATGTGTAAACGCACTAACCGTTGCGTGAAAAACGGATGTGGAGGAAGTTTGCTTAGCTTGAAATTTCAGGAAGCTTTGCTCTTGAGCTTTGGAATTAAAGGAAACTTGTAGCTCGTTGACATGCTGTTGCTTAGATTGCTGCACTATAACAATAGATTGCTGCTCTTGTTCTTGGGCTTTCTGGACTTTTAGAGATTTTTCAACTGTTGCTTGATGATGCTCAGTTCGGATGTTAATCTGTTCTTCGTGGACCTCTTTGGCTAGAGTTTTTTCAATTACCTTACGCTTCTTTTCAGCTTCTTCTTTGTCCTTCTCAGCTTTCTCATCCTTCTTTTTATCCTTCTTTTCTACCGTGACCTTGCAAGTGGACTCATCCTTACCGGCCTCATTGGTCACAATAACTTTATAAATTGATGTGTGCTCCGTTTTGGCACTACTAAATGTCAATCGCGCCGTTGTACCATCAAATGTTGTCGTTATATCCTTTGTCTCACGTATGAGGGTGCTACTCTTGTACCACTCAACCTTACACTTACGATCTGATTGCTTTAGAATAATTATAAGCTCAAAGGTTTTTGATTCAGTGACCTTCTGGTCAACCAGCTTGCGCACAATCTCGGGCTTACAGGGCTTGCGCTCTTCTTCTGGGATGTCAACAAGATTAACAACCTGAGAGACTGCCTCACCCTTCTCATTGCTGGCAATCAGCTTATAGGCGCCTTTATCACTATCCTCGACTTCGTTGATCTCGAGCTTGACGGCAAATTCACCTTCTTTTGTTTTCTCAACTTGATAAACGTGGCGTTTGCTTTCCTTAACCGTATTGCTTTCCTTATACCAGGTACATTTTGGCTCAAATTTGGAGGCGACTACGCACTCGATGACAACGGTTCGTTTTTTTATTATTTTAATTATCTTGGGTTTATCTTTTATAACAGGCACAACTGAAAATATATAGTTAGAATTGATCAAGCGAAGTTTTACAATTAACATTTTTTATCAAATCACTTACTTTCAATATTGAGCGTCAAATTAGCGTTCAATTCGCCCAATGTATTTTTGATGTTGCACTTGTACAGACCCGAGTCTTCCAACTGTGGATCAATCAACTCCAATTTAATATAGTAATGATCGCCACGCGATTCCATGGACATTTTCAGTTTGTTGTTTTCTTTGATGACTTCCCCGTTACGGAACCACATAATGTCTGGTTTTGGATCGGCCTTGACTTTGCACTCCATGATGACCAACTTGCCATTATTTTCAGATATAATGCGAGGCTTTTCAACGAATGTTGGACCTTCGCCTTCGGGCTCGGGATCCGCTTCAATGTTTAAATTGAGATTCGCATTCGATTCGCCGTACTCGTTTTTCACATTACATCTGTAAGTTCCTCCATCTGTTGCGCCGGGATCCTAAGAATATACAGTTTGAAAGTACATTTCCTTTTACAATACAAAAAACTAATTTTATTGGAATATTATTACCTACTATACATTTTAGCACATTTAATTTTTTGGGTATATTAAATGAGACCTTATTATTTAATTATTGAAATATAGATGCAATGGCGGGGTAATTTTTATTCATTCGAGCAGACAGCAAGTCGAAATATTGAAATTATATATTTATGCTATTATACAGACAAGATAGCCTTAACTTTGACTTTACGTTGAATAGAGCTACAAAAAAAACTTTATATGCAATTGACCTTCAAAGGAAGTTTGGTCGAATTTGGAACCGGTATTATGGGATTAATCGGCGTCCATTGGAAAAGTTTGGAGACTCTAACATTAAAGATATACCAGGTATAATTATATTGATAAGATTTCCATAACAAACAAGTAAGAACGTTGCAGTCGGGAGTTACCGACTCCGGAATACTCATTCACATCCTATCAGGAATTTAGTAGCTAAGTATAGCTCTAATATTGTAGCAAATGCAGTTTTTCTCGATTTTTCACGCCCCTACTGGGCGTAGACACCTCATTTTTGGTCAGTTTATAGAACTAGCTAACGGTAACCTAACTGCAAAATTTCAAGGTAAAAAAATTCCAGCAAAAGCTTCTCTGACTAGTTCACCCATACGACCAGATGGATCTACAGACGTATAAATCTATTTCTTGTTCTTATTCGACTTTTTTTGTCAACAACGCAGTTCGGATATAATACATATATGTATATAATTTTACACATATATTCTAATACCCGTGCGAATCTGTATGTATGCTATGTTATATATGTATCATTCCTTACCTTTATTTCCAACGTCAGCTCATAGGTGTCTTCCGCGATGACAGAACTGTTTATTTTTATTTTTTTGCTTTTCTCCACTAAATCTTGCCCTCTGTACCAATTTACGGTGGGTTCTGGCTTTGCTGCGCATTTGCACCTCATAGTTATCAAAGTGCCCGTCTCATTTGGAATAATCCTCGGCTTTTCAATGAACGATGGAGCAAAACCGTTCGCGTCGTTGGCGCCTATGTATATTTTATAAATATAGTATTTATATTATTATTGTAACACTATTTTAATCAATCACTATAAACGTGTTTAATTGTTTTTTTCATACGCGTATGTAAATAGTAGAAGTAAAACCACTTGAGGTAATACACATATATAAATTTAATATAAACGCCTGGCTTAAAAATTCTTGCATTTACTTATGTTATAAAAAACAAGTAAGAACGTTGCAGTCGAACGTTACCGACTGCGGAATACTCATTCACATCCCATCAACAATTTAGTAGTTACGATTCGCTCTAATACTGTAGAATATACAGGTTTTTCAGATTTGTCACGCCTCTACTGGGCGTAGACACCTCATTTTTGGTCAGTTCTTAGAACGAGATAACGGTACCCTAACTGCAAAGTCTGAATGCTTACCCTCAAAAAAAGTGAAAATTACAGAGTATTTTTCGATATGCCACGCCCCTAAAGAGGTGTAAAAATTATTTTTTTGGGGAATGGATAGAGGAGGCTACCAGTAACTCAATTATTCAAATTTGAAGCTTCTAGCTATTATACTTTAGCAGATATAAACTTTTGCGGTTTGCCACGCCCCCTGTACATATATCCGACAAAGCTTTTTGGTCTTGGGTGATCAGCCCGAGTATATATAAAAAATTTGAGGTCTCTGGCATCAATAGTGTCCAAAATGTAGCAGAATATAAAAAATCACTATATCTTCAGGTCTGATTTTCCGCGCCCCTAATGGGCGTAGTCTTACAACTTTGTCTTTAGACTTTATAGAATCATAACATTAGCTGACGCCCAAAATTTCAGCATTCTAGGTTTACAACTCTAGGAGATACAGTTTTATCCGATTTGCCACGCCCTCAATGGGCGGAGATATATCCGCCATAGCTCGTGATCTTGGGTGGTCGACGCGGACCTACATACCAAATTTCAGCTTTCTAGCTCTTCAACAAAC